CTGTTCATGTTGGTTTTAATATGGTTTTGAAATACCTAAAAAGGTCTTAAAAAAAAAAAAGTTTTAAAATATATTTTAAAGTAAACTATGTTTTTTAAATGTTAAGTCATAATAATAATAAGTAATAAAAAAAATCACATTTTTTTAGAGAGTCATGAGTTTGACTTGGCAGACAAAAAAATAGTAAAATTAATTTTATAATAATAAATAAATTATTAATAATAATTTAATAAATAAATAAATCCAAAGATTGTTTCTTTAAGATTGTTTATTTTTTGCTCATTAAGATATCAACAGGTTATTTTTTACTTGACAAATTACTTTCTAAAAACAAATAAACAAATTAATAAATGAATACATTAATCAAAATTAATTTTAATTAAATTAAATTCATTATAGAAGAGTTGTATTCAAGTCATTGTGCGTGCATTTTTAATGCATCACTAAAGAAATTAATAAATAAGATTAAAAAAATGGCATCACATTTTGCTGCAGTGCAGCAATGGAAGCTTAGGAGCACTTTCCAGACTCAAGTAATCAGTATTTATTTTTGAATGTAACATGCCAGATAAAATTCTGTCTCAATAAAGGAGAAAAGGGCAGGAACATGTTATTAGTGCATGTCAATCATGTTAGTACATGTACAGCTCTGTTGCGTTCCTTAACTGCCATCTCCCTAATAACATCCTACGTGCGCCCAGCTCCCTCTCCTTCATATGTTCAATTCAACGGCCTTTGTCATTTTTAATAACACAGTGAAAGCATCAGTGGCTAATGTGGTCTTCATTGTGAACACTTTCATTAGCTGTTCTCCTCTGGCATCTCCATCCCTCTTAAGCTCCGTAAGATCCGCTGAGGGACTTATCTCAAATCCGGCTCGCCGCGGGATCGCACCAGGCATTAACGACTTCTCTCCCTGTCGTAAATCTGCCAGGTCATTTCAATTAACATTTGCTGAGGTGTCCCAGCGCCTCATTCCCCCCCCCTAGAGTGGGCAACTCTTATCCCACTCTCTAAAGGTTGCATTTTCCATGCTTGGCTGTAAGTGCCAGATTCGGCCTCCATAAAGAGCTGTCTTTTTCTCAAATGCGGCATTCATCAGTCTGCATAAAATGAGTTATGGATGAAACGATTAGCACCGTGCCCTTGACCAAATTCCCCAGATTTGTTTTCTAAAGTTTGCACTGTTCATTTTTGAATTTGAACAATCAAGTCATGCGTAAAATGAATGCAAATGTGAATTTGTTGTAGCAATCAATCGTGCTTTAGGCATTTATGGCACCAAAATATTTAGACACGGCCCATTTAAATGGTTTTCTACTCTTAATAAAAGAGGCTCAAAAGGTTGGAATATTGGGAAAATATGCTATTTGTACACATATTTAAACTGAGAAACATTCCCAACATTGTCCTGGTCTTTGGCTCTTACTTTCACACTGTTAGAGAATGACAGTGTTCCAATATTATTATTGTTATAATAATATATTATTACTGTCATTAAATATATATATATATATATATATATATATATATTTCTCCATTTATTGTCCTTATTTATGTTGAATAAAAATATTTCTTCCTTAAGCTACTTTAAAAAAAATTAAATGTCTAATGCTTTTCTTAATCAACACAATAATGACTTTACAAGATCTTTTGGGGGTAACTTCTTAGCCCATAATGATGTGTGATTATTTTGCAATTCATTCGATTATTTAATTGGCGCACCATGTAATAAAAAAACCAGCCCTAGTTTCCAGGTTTCTGAGCCAGTGGCATAAATCGAGTTTATGCTGTTGTTTATTCATCAGGGTGTAAGTCACTCACCTGCACCGCCACCACTGAAAGCACCTCCACCGAGATCCTGTTGAACTCGTCGAAGCAGCCCCAGGCTCCGGTCTGCGCCAGGCCTTTGTAGATGTTGCCACACGACTGAGAGAGACAGATCGAGCGAGAGAAAGCACAGAGTTACGGGTGCATCGCTGGAAAGCATCAATCGCAACACACAGAAGCATGTGAAATTATGCGGGCGTCTTTTGTTTTCTAGAAGCGAGCTCACGGTTCCTGCTCCGCTGAAATTCCAGCTTATAAACAAGAACAACAAATGCTAAACAGACGTTTTCTGGATGGATGAGCAGCATTTGCAAACTCGCATTCATATTCTAAACACTCTGTGTGTGTGTGTTTGCAGCGCTGGCTGATCTGTGATCCTGAGGCCGTCTTCTCTTCTCTGCAGCCACAGCAGAAGAACACTGCGTCTCTATTATATGGAGCGCAGATGAGGCCTGAATACGGACATGGCTTCGGATGTAAATAAAGCCGGTCATTAGAGCTTTACTAATCTGTTGGAGCCCGTGATGGGAGAAGTACATTATGAGATGAAGGACGGGATCAGGTGAGGTGTAGAGTGAGGTTAGAGTTAGGAGCTCGCTGTGAAGTTGATTAAAAGTTGTTCTGATCAAAGCGAGACTGGTTGTGATGGGAACAGCAAACCATCGTACTATTCTTACCAGGAGCATTTCTAGCTTTTCATCAATAACATGTCCTAACATTATTATAGACAAAAGGATTGTATAATTGTCTTTACCGGAGTCGCTCGTAAACAATAAAGAGTTGCCTTGTTGCTAACAAGCAATAGAAGACATTTGCAAGTTTTGTACAATGAATTGTAAGTAAAAAATCACTTCATCCAGTGCTAATTTTTGTTCTCTGTCTTATAAAGTATCCAGTTATGGTGTGAGAAACCACTGTAAATTATTCAGACTGAATCGTGAACCATTTCAGACCTTTTAGCAAATCCGTTTGACTGATCAAAAGATCAAAAAGAGTAATTCATTTGCAAATTTGCTCTAATTCTAACTATAAATGACAGAAAACACATGACATGATTGCTGAAATCATATCATTATATTTCAGGTTTTAAAGGACACTTCATATTTAGTAATACTGCATTATTGATTTGACTGCACTGACTCTGTTGGATGGGAACAAAACTTGAACTGAATTGATCTGAATAATTAACTATTGCCTTCTAGAGCTGCTTTACAACTGAACTGACTTTGTTGTCATAATTGATGGATTTTACAACATTGACACTTATGGAACACTTATTGAACTGAACTGAATCAACTTTTAAAATTGTCTTCAGTTGAGCTGCTTTTGAATTAGTCTCATATTTGATGAAGTTTCTATCACTGATTCTGTTTATTACTGTGAACCTGCTTTGAAACAATTCTGTACTGTGTAAAACACTATAGAAGTAAACGTGACTTGACTCCGGTCAACATACAGTGATCTCCACCGTCAGACAATGATTTATTATTAATACTTCACAGCTGTATTTCACTGGGATCGGTTAGCAATGCCCCTGGTTTTTACTAGTGCTACAGAATACTCAAGTCCCATTGCATTGTGGGATACTGGACCGTTCCTGTTTATTCGTCATGCTGGAAATGGAAGATTAAATCAAGCGCATTTGCATCGCCTGCATTCGAACACAGGTGGTCTACATAACCCATATCAGTAAGATCTGGCAAAAACATATATGAAACAGCACAACCCAATAAAGAAAAGTCCAGGAGCGTGTACAGTCGTGATATTCTCTGTTCTCATCACCTTGTAGTCCATCTGCTCAGAGCAGTTGAAGACGTAGACCATGATGCCGAGGGCTCGGCCCAGGTCCTTAGTGGTTTCGGTCTTCCCGGTGCCGGCCGGACCGGCTGGGGCTCCGCTCATAATGAGATGCAGCGACTGCGTCAGAGTGATGTAACATCTGCGTTTGAGCCGAGAAAAACACACTTCAGCAAAACAAACACAAATGTTCAATCACATAAATACAGACTTTGCCAGCGGCTAAAGTCCTGCTATTACAGTGTGCTTCTGATGTGATCAGTCTGAGCAAACAGCTCGATTCTGGGAGACGGAGCTCTGCTAAATGGATCAGGTTTTACCTTACCTTTAACACTGAGTTTGGTGTATTTACTGATGGCCTGTGTACAGAACAGAGGTGCTTTATGTGTTTGAGTAAGGCTGTTTGGCAAGCCTTTAACCCTGAAGAGTCCTTCAGTGAAAATCATTTGCATTAGGTGAGGATGGCACGGTTTTATGAGATTTACACAAACAGGCAATGCTCCTGAATCAACATCCTCTGCTGGTTCAGGAAGAACAATCTAATGCTGTTCCTCTTTAGTGAATCGAAAATGTTCAATATGATCAGAACAGGCTGACTCCTTAACAAATGACTCTTGTGAGCCAGATCTTTATACTGAATCAAAACCATACAGCAGATCCAGTGGACTCCAAATGAATCAACAAATGACTCTTAAGAAGTTTTTTTTTTTTTTTTTTTTCAAAAGTATGGGCTCGGTAAGATTTGGTTATGTTTTTGAAAGGAAATGCTCACCAAGGCTGCATTTATTCGATCAAAAACATTAAAAATTGTGAAATATTATTACAATTTAAAATAGCTGTTTTCTATGTGAATATATAGTAAACTGTAATTTATTGCTGAGACCAAAGCTGAATTTTCAGCATCATTACTCCAGGCCTTCAGAAATCATTCTAATATGCTGAGATTTGCTGCTCAAGAAACATTTCTGATTATTGTCAATGTTGAAAACATCAATATTTTTGTAGAAACCGTGATTAATTTTATGTTTCAGGATGCTCTGATGAATAGAAAGATCAAAAGAACAGCATTTATTTGAAACAGAAATTTTTTGTAACATTATAAATCTTTACTGTCACTTTTGATCAGTTTAATGAAAAATAAAAAAACTTTTCCCAAACTTTTGAAAAGTAGTGTAATAATGTCTTACGATCCCTAATTTATCACATTTATCAAATACAAGTGAAATATTTTGGGAAAACTTATTTACAGGTTAAGTAAAACGACTATAAAGTAAGCGTCTGTGCACATGAATGACGTTCAGCGGCCGCCCTATCTTAATGGAGCCATCTGTGCCCCGTTGTGGTATTTTTGCATAGTCTCGGTTCGTTGTGAATGAAAGGCAGGCGTGTGACTCGGTCAGCAGAGCTCAGAGACTGACCATATGCTCAGAAAAGCGCACTGTCATTGATTTTACTATCAAACAGTGGCGTCTCTGCTTTGTGACCGTTTCAAAGTGTGGAGACGGACCCGCCTGAGCAACCCGCCATCTTCCTTTAGCACAAGGGCATCTGATGGGACACGCTCGCTCTCTAATGGCTCCTCAAATGAGTCACTACAAAGCTAAAGCTGTGTTTTTCTGGCGTCTCACCTGTCTGTGAGTGGCGTGATGACTAATCGTGGAGTGTTGCCCAGATACTCGTATGAATAGAGGAACTGGGCGTCGCAGATGTTGGCGAAGCAGTGCTTCTCTCTCTCGCCCCAGCGGTGACGCAGTTGGGACAGCCAGAGAAAGGCCTGAGAGTTCTCCACCTGAGGGAGATGATTATGAAGGATTAGCATGAGGAAAATATCACACCTGAGCTGGATAAAAACATTAGTGCGCTTCTGAGCCACTCTACGGCGCTTTCATTAGGACTTCTATTCTACTAAACTGCGGGTCTTCAAGTGAGACCAAAATATGAGCAATCACATGAGAGCACATTGAGGCTTGGATTATGGAGGCAAATAGAGGCAGTATTGAATATCCTCTTATGAGACGCCTGCAGGCTTTTTCACATGACTAATGCTAGTGCTGGTCACTGCAGTGAACTCATGCATCCGCTGCAGCATTCACCTCATGCACTGCTCAAAACTCAAACCATTTCAACTTTGGTCTTTTGAAGGCCATCATTGGTTTTCAGATGATTCGCATGACTTATGCAAAGCGTTTGCAGTAAATTCTGATTCTAGTAGCATTTAGGAGAGTCCCTGGACAATATCAGAAAATAAAACAGGTAACACTTAAAGCCTTTATATATAATGCCATATGAAGGTATTTTATTGCATTAATTATTGTCTTGTAATGCACCTTATAATGCATTGTATGATTTCATGAATAATAATTACATTAATACCTCATAACACTTATCTATTCAGCGAGCACACCTTTAGAAAGTAGATTTCATTAAAACAAACAACTAATTTCAGATGTAACAAGAAATCTGCAAACAGTATAATGCATTTTAACTTGGTTGCAATTGTTTATGAAAAATATAATGCATTATAATGTACATTATTGAATACCTTTATAGTGCATTATAAATAAAGGCTTTAAGTGTTACCAAAAATTTCATTTTAAATGAATTCAGATTCATTGCAATTATTTTATTCTATTCACATTTAAGCCCCGTTCACACCAAGAACGATAACTATAAAGATAACGATATTAGCGTCCACACCAGCGAACGATATCGTCTGTTTATTCTAAGCGCACATGCGTCTGCCGCTTTAAATTCTTGAGCTCGTTACAGCAGGATGGATTCTGATTGGCTGTCAATGTTTTATCGTTCATCAGCTGGAAAAAAAATCGTTTTGAAAGTGATCACAACGATATCGTTCCTCTGCATCGTTATAGTTGTGGTGTGAACTATGCTATTCTTTAATATTGAGAACGATTTTTCGAACTATATCTTTATCGTTATCTTTATAGTTATCGTGCTTGGTGTGAACGGGCCTTTAGAGTATTTAACAGTAAGAAAAAAATGTGTATAGATTTGTGAACAAAAATATTTTTTATTTATTTCTAAGCGTTTATCTCTCCTCTCATGCAGTATGAAATTACACTTTTGAGTATATATTAACTGAATTGGAAATGTTTATACATCTAACATTACTCTAATAGTGGAGAGAAAAACAATTCTACTTAATACAAGCTAAATATTGTCCATATAATATATTAATTGCTTTGGCTTTAGTACAACGACAATATTGAAGTATTATTTAAATACGTCATTTTGTCTTTATAACATAAATCTTACTGCACTACTATGCTTTAGCCTGTCTGACATTAAAACGTTTTGCAAACCCCTGCAGTAGATTACAAAACAACAGCATTTTTTTATCCTATCATATCATCTTTGAGTGCGACCAATATATGAGACCAAATCACATGAGAGCACACTGAGACTTTGATTATGGAGGCAGTATTGAATCTTGTCTTATGCACTCATCTGCAGATATCTGAAGGAAAGTCAGTGTCAAGGATGGATATGACAATAGGACAGATGAGATGGTACCTTCTGCTGAATGATCTTGTCCACCACGTCTCTGGCGTGGACGTCAATGGTACAGATGGTCATGACTTTCTGCCGGTCTCCGGTAGTGAGCTGGCCGATCAGCATGGTGATGAGGGTGTTTAACTGACTCACTTGCTTTTTATAGTACTCCTTCATTGCATTCTCATATCCCTCCTCCAGTCTGGAGAACGCCATTCCTACATCAGTCGTCCACCAGATCTGAGTACAGGTGAGCGCCACCTATCCAAATAAGAAGATGACGCATTTCTGTTCTGCACTAGGCCGAAATACATGATCAGCATAACAATAGTTAAAGGTAACATGAATGTCAGGATGTCTCAGTATTTGGTTCAGTATGTGAGTCAATGATACTGTATGTTTGTGTCCAAGATAAAGAAATCACAAGTGGCATGTTTTTAGAAATCTATTCTTTGTATTTATATTGGTTTCATATGGTTTAAAAAAAAAAAACTTTTTTTACGTAAACAAGAAAGGTTACAATTAATGCCTAAAATGTCATGTGTTAAAAACATCAAGTAAAAAGTAATAATATGCACCTTAATTTATTTAAAGGTTTTATAAAAAAAATAAACATATATATTTTTAAATTAAGTTACAAATATAACATTTAACAAATATCATTATATAACAATGTTAAATAATTTAAATTTTAATTTTTCTGCATGTTGGTTGGACCATGTTTTTTTTTTTTTTTTCATTCTTAGGTTTGCTTATTTATTCTGAGAATTAATAATAATAATAAAAGTTTCATTTTCAATAATTTCCTCCTTTTTTATTCGTTATGACATCAGGACATTCAGTTCACCCCAACAATTTTGACTTGCTAACAAAGAAATAACAAAATGAATTTTAATTCTCACAAATATATTCTTTTTATTTATATTGGCTCTATATGGTTACAAAAAATAATAATCTTTTTTACATAAACAAGAAAGGTTACCATTTATGACTAAAATGTCTTGTGGTGAAAACATCAAGTAAAAAGTAATAATATGCACTATATAATGCACTATAAATATATATATATATTTTAAATTAAGTTACAAATATTACATTTACAAATATCATTATATAACAATGTTAAATCATTAAAATGTTCATTTTTCTGCATGTTGGTTGGACCATGTTTTTTTTTTATATTTGCAATTTTAAAATTTATTTGCATTCTTAGGTTTGCTTATTTATTCTGAGAAATAATAATAATAATAATAATAATAATAAAAGTTTCATTTTCAAGAATTTCCTCCTTTTTTATTCGTTATGACATAAGGACATTCAGTTCACCCCAACAATTTTAACTTGCTAACAAAGAAATAACAAAATGAATTTTAATTCTCACAAATCTATTCTTTTTATTTATATTGGTTTCATATGGTTTTAAGGCTAGTACAAATCAATGATACATATGAATATAATAATACAACCTTGAATATGTGTGCGCATTTATGAAAAGGGTTCAAATATAATTAAAATAATACATATTTTTTCTTTACCATGACATCAGGCCAGTCATTTAATCCGGACATTTTTGACTAAGCTTCCAAAGAAATATCAAAAATAATTAAAACGAAATTAAAATTCAAACACGTTCATTTCAGAAGAGGTGTATTTAGTTGTTCAGTTTGTGAAGCTACAAAGAAACTGTCAATGTCACACATTTGATTAGTGACCTAGAAATACTGCAGAATGTTTTAATTTTACGTTTTTCAAATTCATTAAACTTTTATTCACAGATTTAAAATGTTTGAATCCCAGATTTGGTCTGAAATGTTTCAGCCCCACTGAATAAAATTAATAATCATGATTTAAACACAGACATCCACTGCGGCCCCTTCGCTATCGGGCAAAACGCGAACTCCCAAAAAGCAGGCCTTCATGAGGCTTGATTCTGTGAGCACATGCAGATAGTAATACTGCCAGAAATATCTCCAATTCCTTATAAATATTCTCTCATTCAGAGGAAACCGGCCTAGAGATGTTTACAGGCGCTGGTTCAGTACCTGAGCGGGATAGTCGAACAGCCACTGCTCCCTGGGCTTCTCCTCATAGGCAGCGACGGCCTCGGTCATCTCATGACGCACGGTGGCCCTCATACTGTCCAGAACACGGTTCAGCCACACTTCCACCTGAACATGCATTACACGGTTCCAGATGTGAGGAGGTTTGGCAGCAGCCTGATACTCTACATTGGTTCCACTAGAAATAAACTAATCATCCATGAGCAGACAGAGCAAAACTTCAGGAGCTGGATTAGATTGAGCCTTAATCCACAGCAGATCCTCCAAACATAACCACATTTATAACCACATGTGCTGGAGAAAACATGAGTGGTGTTTCTCTGTGAAAGAGCCTGTCTCTGAGTCTCTATGATATTCTGGACTGCAGACGTGACTCAGGTACAACAGTGGCCAATAGTGATGTCCGGTCTAGGAAAATGGACATCTTCACCTTTTATTCAAACATTTGATTACTGAGTCAAAGACAAGATGTCACACTTTGGTGTTTGCATCTGATTAAATTTACAAAACTGATTTTATATGCATAGAAACCATATTTAATGCAACTAAACTGTCTTGTACTAATGTTTCATACAACTTTTGTGAAAAATATGGGTGAAATAATGTTCATGGTCATTCAGCATAATAGATATATTTATGTAAAAAATGAAACAACATACTTCATCTGACCTGTATTTATTAAAATGTATGAAAGAATAAGTGACCATGCTAAATTTGGTTATATTTAAATGATTAAAAACTTTTTGCTGTCAAATGGGTAAAAGCTAATGGTTTGAAGGATCATGGCAAAGATTGATTTAAAAAATAATAATAATTCATATATATAGTATATACACCCAAAAATGAAAATCCTGTCATTAATTGCTCACCCTCGTGTTGTTCCAAACCCGTAAGACCTTCGTTCATCTTCGGAACACAATTTAAGATATTTTTGATGAAATCTGAGGGCTCTCTGACCCTCCCATAGACAGCAAGGTAACTACCACGTTCAAGGTCCAGAAAAGTACCAAGATGATCGACGAAGTAGTCCGTGTGACATCAGTGGTTCAACTGTAAAGTTACGAAGCTCCGAGAATCCTTTTTTGCGCAAAGAAATCAAAAATAACGACTTTATTCCACATTTTCATCTCTACTGCATCACTTGTGGACACGCGTTCACAACAGTACCATGACGCGAGCGTGTGGCAGTGCCGGCGCTGACCCAGATCTGGCGTGATGACGTCATTACACCAGATCTGGGTCAGTGCCGCCACACGCTCGCGTAAAAAAGTATTCTCGTAGCTTCGTAACTTTACAGGACGACTTTATTCCACATTTTCATCTCTACTGCATCACTTGTGGACACGCGTTCACGATAGTACCATGACGCGAGCGTGTGGCAGTGCCGGCGCTGACCCAGATCTGGCCAAATCTCCCGTTAGTTTCCATCCCTGCTGTAGCCATGATTACTGTTATCCTCCAGACTGTATCATTTACCTGAAAAAGTATTTCTTGCGGAACTGCTCTCTGAAGGTGTGCTGCTCCACATCGAATGCAGCGCATTTCCTGCGTAGGTTAGCCACCTCGCCAGCCTGCAGCGGAGCAACATGCTGCTTCACCAACATCGCCTGCTTCTTCATGTTATTCCACTTCTCCGGCAGCACCTGTTCATCAAAAAAAAAAAGAAAAAAAGCAAGGTCTCAAGATGCATTTTTTAAAAGCTGAACTTGTCTGTCTAGTGCATTTAGACAGAAAAACAATCTTAAAGTTATAAAGATAACCTCAATCTTGTCTTAAATCGCCAAATGTAAGATGTTTAATGAATTTATTGGGTTGCTTCATATATTACACTAGCTACATATAGATTTTTGGGAATATGGCCAAGAACAATCATGGAAATTCCTCACTGGTCTAAATAACACTTTACATTCAGAATCTACCCACAGAACATTAGTTTCATAGAATAGTTATTGCTAATAGAGACTGTCATGCTTCTTGGCCTCAGTTTAATGGCTTTATCAGTCAGATCCAGTAAAACAGTAAGTTTGAGCTTCTCTCTCAGGTTTTCAGGATTAGTTTATAGACAAACGTACCTCTAGCTGTTTGTACACAAGCTCTGGGAGTTCCTGTTCATAAGTCTTCAGCAGATCAATGGTGTGCTGCAGAGGCTCGAACATCTCATCTGTAGTGCTCTGACGCTTTTTAACTGCCATCAGGTAACCCATGATGTCCACCAGACCGTTATAGTCACCCTCCTCCACCTTCTTACCCAGACCAGCCTCCGTCAGCCCGATGAACTCCTCCAGGTCAGACAGACTACAGCCACAAACATAACAGATCAGACAAGACATGTAAAAAATATCAGGCAGACCATTTGGTAACTTATGAAACCTGTTTTTACTCACTTATTTATTTATTTATTTTAATTTGTTTGTTTAGCCCAATGAACAGTTTTCTGAAATTCTTTGTTTTATATATTTTAATTGTTCTGTTAACCTAATGTAGGCAAAACATATTACCAGTTTAATTAATCTTTTAATCAAATGAAAATTAACAAACCCTGTCATTTTTTTTTTTCGGCAAACAAAGTGCTGCAAAAGTGCTGGCGTTTACTGTTAAAATTAAAACATGGAAGAAAAATTGTTTACATTTTAGTATATAACAGTTCTATATTTCTGTCATAATTTCTTCAAGTTAAATTGAACTTTTATTTTGCGTTAATGGCACTGACCCTGAAAATGCGTCTGCTCCATTCATTCATGAGACAGGCAGAACATGCAGGATTCATATTTAAATACTATTTTTGTGGTTTAATATTCACAGACTATAGTCTATATGGCCTTTTGATTAAGTGTATTGACCTACTTTTGATTTATTAATCCAAAATTTGCCCAATTCTGTGACATTCTGCATTAAACAGAAAATTCTATTTTTATGACTGGATTACATGATTGTGTCTGTGTTTTCCACACTGCAGAAATCATAGGGCCTTGCTTAAACTGGCTCTGATGCATAATTGTAATTAATTAGGAACTCAGTGCTTTTACCTGTGCGTCACATGATCAATAAGATGCTGTTTGAACATGAAGCTCCACTTTCTGATGACGTTGAGCAGGGCACTTTTGAAGGCTCGTGCGTCCACCCTCATCCAACTCTCAAACACATGGACAGGCTCCAGCCGCTGCACCTCCTCATATAAGAGCTCGTAAGAGTCCACCTGCTCGCGGAAGCAGTCCAGAGTCGGAGGGGTTTCTGGGACGCCATGCTCGGCATGGGCCTCGATCTCTTCGCTCGTGAGCACGTGACCGTACAGCAGGAACTGACGCATGAACTCCTTCCGGTCGTCCACGTAGAGGTAAGCGTAGTGTTCCAGGCTGTTACGATACTCACAGCACTGTCCCATGACTTTCCTCACGCGCTCCATCAGAAGATGCCTCCACTCCGCAAAGTCCACCATGTCCTCCATATCAGCCTGATGGAACAAGACTTTATGTAAACATATCTGATCATAAACCACTTGCATAAGAAACATTAAAACAAAATTCACTGCATTTACTTTCTTAATATGTTTTTCCGGGGTCATTGTGCACAACTTAGGGAAAAAAATATGTTTGTTCTTTCAAAATCTTTTATCAAAATGTAAAGACTTGATCTGCCTCTTGACAACATTTAATGTTATGACTTATGACTTTCTGCTCCAATTTAAAGGAACACTCCACTATTTTGGAAAATAGGCTCATTTTCCAACTCCCCTAGAGTTAAACAGTTGAGTTTTACCATTTTCGAATCCATTCAGGCGATCTCCGGGTCTGGCGGTAGTTTTTTTTTCTGTAGCTTAGCATAGATCATTGAATCTGATTAGTCCGTTAGCATCTTGCTCAAAAATGACTAAAGAGTTTCTATATTTTTCCTATTTAAAACGTGACTCTTCTGTAGTTACATCGTGTACTAAGACCGACGGAAATTGAAAAGTTAAAAAAAATTGTATTCTTTAATAATTGCACTGTCCATGGAGCGGACCTGACTTACATTTCACTGCTGGTCATATATTCCCTACATAACCATGTATGTGACAAATAAAAAATCTTGAATCTTGAAAAGTTGCGATTTTTTAGGCCGATATGGCTAGGAACTATACTCTCATTCCGGCGTAATAATCAAGGAACTTTGCTGCCGTACCATGGGTGCAGCAGGTGCAATGATATTAAACACCTGCAAACATATTATGGTATTTTATGCTTTAGCACAGTCAGAAACCTACATACAGCACATTTAAGTCCTGCAGAATCCCTGCAGAAGTAGCATGGCACAGACACCATTTCATAGTATCTAAATCCAGATGAAGTGATGTGTTTGGCTCAGTACCTGATAGTGTGGGAAACCGCTGTGCTCAGATAATCGTGGCACAAGAGCAGAGATCCTAAAGACGCTATTGATGAGACTCTCCACCAGATCATGGAACCCGCCTGAAGCACTGAACTCCAACGACGGATAAAACACAATCTCAGGAACCTGCAGAAGCAGCTGGACCTCAAAGAGTGGGGCTAATCCAGCCTTCTGGTCTGTATCAGGGGATTGGTGTAATTGTTTAGTGCAGAACAATCAATCTCCAATGAGGGAAAACTCCTATAATCATTTTTAGTAAGGCTTAAAAAAAATCAAAAAGAACACCTGTGTTGTCCAAGAAGAACTTGAGGGAGCTCTCAATAGCATTGTAGAAACCATCAATGACCATTTCATCAATGTAATCCACATAAACCTTCCACCGCGCAGAAGATGGGTCTGCTTTGAAGAGTGACATGTTGTCCTGAAACAAAACAAAAAGATAATTCTTATAAGGAGTGGAAATGTTTGGGTGAGCGGCTCCTTTAAAATGAGTCATTCTGTCAGTTGTTATTTGATGGGATCACCGCTGCATACTTTCAGCAACAGATGGATCTTGGTTCCTGAAGCTCGGATCTGGCCGTACGTTCTCTCCAGACGCTCGGTCTTATCTTCCAGGTTTAGAAGAGTATCTTTCTTCCCCTCCTTCCTCTCAAAGACTGGGGTAGTCCAGCTCTTCATGATAGTCTGGATCTCCTCAACATTGTCTTTAGTCCTCTGTAGGCGTTGCTCCAGGTCATGTACCGTCTCACGGACATCCTGGATGTATTCCCAAATCCCTACCAGAGAAAACTCATTAGAGATTTAGTGTATATAAAAATCTAGAGTATATAACATCAAACATCATGTCATTCCAAACATAAATGATCTTCTTACAACAGAGGAAAAAATGTAAGACACTATGACTGTTGTAATGATTATGTGGTGTGTTCACCTCTATCAGTACGAACATTCTGCTAAACATCACTTTTTGGGCTCAACAGAAGAAATAAATCATTCAGGTTTGAAACAACATGACGTGAACTATTTCTTAAAAAAACAAAAAACAAAACATGATTATGAAGAAGTACAATAACAGAGGCAGACTCATAAAAATAAGAACAATATAATTAAGCTCAATTATCAAATAAAAACACAAACTGATAAAAGATTTTGATCTGAGCCTTCAACAAATGTTCTACGGTGAAGAATGCTGAGAAATGCTGATATTTTGAGTTATTTTAGTATCATTGAAATACTATTATAGTTTTTATTAATAGTTTGAATCCATTTTTGGTTTTTTTTGTATTTTCCATTTTCATTTAAATTTTAGTTCAAGTTTTAGAAATGTTGTTGTGTTTTAGTCATTTTAGCAGTTTTTATATGTCTATAAAGTTTATATGTCTATTAATTTTTATTTCAGTTTGTTATTTAGTACACTAAACTAAATTAAATGTTGCTTTGACAACTCGCTGAAATAAGTTTTTTTTATTATTATTTTAGGTAACAATACATTTTTTATGGTTTAAATTTTAGTACATCAACTTCAACTGAATTCAAATGAGAAATGTTGCTTTGGCAACTTGCTGAAATAAAAATGTACTTATCTTTTCTTTCATGTAACAAGATTGTTTATTTATGGCTTTAATTTTTAATTTCGGTTTTAGTTAACTATGATAATGTTTTTTTTAAAGGTGCTTTTGATTAAATATTTTATGGAAAATGTTCAGATATCACTGACGGAAGTGTCCTGAGATGTCACACCTGTGCTGCCCTGAATTAGCCAGCAGGATGCTGTAGTTTTGAGTGTTCATAATGACGTTTGCATCACACTAACGGCTGTAGTGTATCAATCTCAGTTATTTGAGGGTTCAGCACTGATCATCTCTACCTTGGCTTGTCCAGCAGAGGTTCTCCTCAGCTTCTTTGAGCTTGGCGTCAATGTCTGTCAGCTGGCTCTGGATCAGCGGCATCTCCACCTCGAGCATGCTGCTCATCACTTTGTTGTACCAGTTGGTTGTGAGCTCCAGATTGGCCACATACTGCCACAGCAGCTCTCTGTTGGAATAAATGTCTGCAGCCATATCTGGAATGACTTCAGCCTGTCTGGCCTCCAGGTACTTCACCTCCCGCAGCACCGAAACCAGCTACAGGGCGAGACGAGAGTCAAGTTCGATAAGGGAACTGGCCTGTAGATATTAACATATGTGTGTGAGGAGAGCTGCAGCCTGACCTGCGGGCTGAAGTTGACAGAGATGAGTCTCGTTCTCTGCTCTCGGGATATCAGCGGCTTCTGGAGATTAAACTGTGACTTCTCAGCCACAGAACTCGTCCAGATGTCATACAGCTTAGAGGAGTATCTGGTGATAAAGGCAGCAGGAGAATTACTAACATGTCATTTTTTGATGTATGCTAAAATTAGTGAATTTAATGAAAGGCTGCTCTTCATACATCAATAGTGGGCAGTGCTTCAAACTGCCAAGATGAACAAAACATAAAGAAGCTTCTTAAAAGAGCACTCCATACAAAGATACCTTTTTGGCATCAAATGCAATTGCAATGGAGATTTTCCAGCTGGATTAGATGGAAAGATAAACGATTGCATGAATTTCAGTCTGTTCAGAAGAAGTAATATAGTGCACAAGCCAGATGGAACACTTTTATAGTGCACGCTTTTGCTTGTTGGAGCTTGACAGTATGAATCACCATCCACCTTCATTCTCTCAAACATCTTTATTCGCTTTCACACAATAAATATGGGGTCAGAAAATGTTTTGAGCTACATTGATTTGAAGGACAGTACAGACAGGCATGCTGAGGGATTGTGAACACTTGTTTAGTGAACATCCACATGCATCAAGGCTCTAAAAAGGCAAACTCTTAAGTATTCAAATCTCAATTTTAAACATACGCACAGTTTTAGACCATCAAATGCTTATCTAAGTAGGGTTACATGTGTGTAAGGTTTTAACTGTTGGTTCAGCATTCATCAAGAAGCGCGTCGGGTCCCTGTACTGTTACAGTAATCTCTTTATAGGCCGATTGTGAGAGGTCGTACACTCTGGCCTTTATTGGATTTGGTATGAGCTTGATCGTCTTATTAGAGTTACAGAGCTGCAGTCCATGAAATCAAATATCGCTTTGCTTCACACAACTCATACATCTCAGTGTCAAGAAATAATGACTAGAGATACCAATAACAGCTCCAGCTAGATTGTGTTTACGCAACATCGCTGATTACCATCATCTAACGAGGAGGCTTCATTTCTGACTGGAGAGAATGCAGATCTGGCTCCTTGGGAAATGCATCATTTGTTTCATCTCACATGAAGGGAAACACACACATGCATCACGTCCTTGGTCACATGTAACATGCATTCCTACATCAGCAACGCTTTACACAACCATTGTTCAAGCTGTGATATGGAAGCATTGCACGTAATTGGAGAAAATGAGACCCTGAAGTAATAATCTACAGACACTAGCACCTAAATGAGCAAATAAATCATGTTTTATTTGTTTATTCCATGTTGAGCTTGAAGGTCCCTCAGCAATACCACCCTATCTTCACGTTACACCTTACTGTTCACGCTTGCAGCAGAGAATATATAGGTTTTTCAATAAAAAGCCTCATTTATTTTAACAAAGGTGGATCATAGCGGTCTATACATTGGCTAAACAAAAACGGTTCATCTGGGATTAAAGTTATCAGCTGAGACACACAATCAAAATAAACATGATTAATAACAGGGATTTAAAGGGGGACCAATTATGCAAAAAACACTTTTATAAGGTGTTTCAACACAGTTGTGTGGCCACAGTGTGTGAAAACAACCAGCCTATAATGGTAAAAATCCACCCACTCATTTTTTTATAATCCCAATAAATCATAAACACGTCTCTCTGAATACGCGATTCCAGATTTCTCCCTACGATGATGTCGTTGTAGGGAAGAAATCCCGCCTATTTGTGACAAGACACAATGCTTGAGCGAGAAGCAGCAGTCCACCATTACTGTTTTCTTGCTGTAGCTGCTGGAGATATACAATGTCAGCGCCAAAGAGGCATTACAAGTGTTGTGTTTTGGGATGCACCAGTGAACATAGGAGTCATATTTGTTTCATAAACGCGTGTTTATTACGCACAGTACAATAGTGATGGCTGCTTTTGAAACACTGCTTCATGAATTTCATCATTCTGCTTCATTCGAAACATTTGCAAATCATCTGTTTCGAAACAGTGGTTCGGAGCGTGTATCAAAATGCCAAAGTCACGTGATTTCAGTAAACGAGGCTTGGTTACGCCATAACTGTTTCGAAATGTTTCAAAATTTCAATAGTTTACCTTACCATGCAAGTTCATTGAGATCGCCCCCAGCGGCGAACCATTGAACCAGCGTCTCTGATCACGGATCAGTTTTATCAATTTGTAGACATTTTTAATGAGACATTTCTGTAATTAAAAGGATGAGTAGTAGTTAATAGTCTCTTACTGGCCTGTTTAGACAAGCTCTCCATAAAACAAACAAAACAAGCCCTGCAAATTAATAATAATTATTTAAAAAATACATATTATACAGACACTTCATATTTAAAGGTATTTTATTATTTTGATTGCATTTTTTATTATTTTGATTGATATATTATACTTTCAAGAAAGCATTTGCATTGGGTTTGAAAAAGCGTTTTTTTTTTTGTTGTTGCTGTTGTTTGTTTGTTTTTTGTTTTTTTGCATGATTTGGCAAGAGTTTTGTTGCGTTTACACAGTTTTGACCAGCAGGCGTCACCAGCATATGGTATTTAGAGTGAATCATTTTACAAACTAATTTGTTCAATTGATTGGAAGCTTCGAAATGGTTTGTTTCTCCCATCATTACAGTACAATCAGATGACTGACTTTTAAACCAAGTACGTTTTCTGTAAAGATAACAGGCTTGTACTAATAGTGGAATGTTTATTTGCAAATGCCTGAGCATGAGCTCTTGAAGCTCCGCCCTCTTCTGAAAAGGGGGCGGGGAGCACCAGCTCATTTTCATTTAAAGAGACAAACACAAAAATGGTGCGATTCTCCCTAATTCTTCTTTTTCATCTTTTAGTTTTTCCTTTCTAAAATAGCCTACCGCTTACGTACACTCAGAAAGTCCTCCAGTTTTGTGGACATTCACACAAAGCCCAAACATTAGTCAGGTGTTTACACATTTTTGTCATCTTATCCTCTTTCACCTAATATATTTACTTGAAGTACACCTGAGATTTAAAAAAAATATTTTTATAATTAAGTAACACATCTGCATGCTCACTTCACGGTTGTCTGACATTGGTTATGGTCACATGACATGCAAGTAAACAAATATAACCATTTAATTTTCTTAGTAGTTTTTTTTTTTTTTGATTGATTGATTGATTGATTTAAAATGATTTATTTTATTTAAAATTTTATGATTTAATTAATTATTAGCTGTTCATTAAACTCATAAACCCCCTGCAGTTCCTCCACAAACCCAGTTTGGGAAACTTTGACGTAATATAATGTGTAAAGCACTTCATGTTGTTAATAACAAATGGAATATATTTTCTTACTCTTTGTATTCTTATTCCAATATGGTACAAGATCATCCTATTTAAATCAATGTCATAAACGAGTTAGGTCAAAAGTAATCTAAAAGTAATCTAAATCTAAAATATGTAATGTAATGGATTACGTTACTAACTACAATTTTTGTCATGTAATTTGGAATCAGTAACGAATTACAATCTGTAAGTAATCTACCCAGCTCTGCACTAGGGATGCACGATATTGGATTTTTGCCGATATCCGATGTGCCGATATTTTTCAACTCATTTTGGCCGATACCGATATATTTCCTTTTGTTTGGAAACAACTCTCTCCTGTGCAGAAATTATAAGCAAAATATTTTTAATTGTGGTTAGTTTTTAATAAGAACTTATTTGTTAGAATTAAATAAACAATAATTAAGTTTTTTTGACAGTACATTGAAGCTTTGAAAATAACTATAAATAAACTATATATATATATATCAATCGCTGCATTTTTTCTCCCAGAAAGATGCAGTGTTAACCCTAACATTTTATTTTAAGATTTAACATCTGTAGATGGTCTAAAGCAAAAGAGTTGTAAAAATTCTGAAAATCTTTTAGAGCTTATGATTTGTTTAAAAAATAAAACATATTGCACAATAATTAATAAATCAGTATATATAAAATTATTTAATTTACAAGTGTCATGTTTGTGATTTTTTTTCCATGTAAGCTATTATTTTATGACATCAATTACTGCTTTATTTAAGCAGAAACACAGTCTAAATGTTATTTGTGTAGGCTATTTTACTTTTAATTTAATTAGAAGTAGGCCAACAGCACCCCCCTACAGATTAAAACTCCTTACCGAACGGGCGTTAGGACCCGGGGGAGGCTGCCGCTGCACCTGCTATTACTGTTTACTCTATCACACACCTAACGTGTCATTCTGTACGTGCATTCTCAGTTTAAATGCAGCGATCCAAAACAGTGAATATAATCATCATTCAGACAAAACTTTGCTTCAAGAATGAGCCACACTGCTGACATGATCTAATCACTAGCACACCCTGAGCACATGTGAGTTAACGTATTCCTCTTATCGGCAAGACATATCGGTATAATTTTTCATATCGGGCCGATGTCGATATTTACATTTAAAGCCATTATCAGCCGGTTCCGATATCAGTCCGATAATATCGTGCATCCCAACTCTGCACACATACATTTTATATAATATTTTCACTGACCCTTTGAGTAGCTGCATCAACTCATCGTATTTCTGGATCATCTCCTTCCCATCCGCAGACTCCATACATCTATTATCACACAAATAAAGTGGTTGTTTAACACAGAAGCAGTTCCAAACGAGCCTTCCCAAGCATAAGATATTTACGGGTGGTTGATGAATCTGAAGTTATTGTAAGGGATCTGTATGCGTTCCTTCAATTGCTGGACAAATTTCAAACCTCCGGCAACCACAGGCATGTTCTTGGAGACAGGAGAGTAACCTGGAAGACCAATAAACAGCAGATGTCAAATCAAAAACCCAAGTTAATAACAAACAGCCGGGTGATGTTGCTTGTGAACACTGAACCTTGGGTTTCTCCTGTCTGCATCTGCTGCTTGAAGATCAACTTGCAACATTCCAGCTGCTTGTCAAACATTTTGATCAGCATCCGATATCTAGTGTGAGCATCGGCTGCTATCAGGGGTCGCTCCAGCAGTCTGCCAAACATGTCCAATACCTGCCAAGCAGAGACTCTGAAACTGTGTTGTGTTTATTGTATTTCAGAAACACAAACGCTTTCCACCAACTTCATTCAAAGACATACTTTTTAATATTATGGTTCACTGCACTATCAACTGCAAAAATCAAATATAGCAGAAATGAAAATATGTTCCAGGGTGGAATATTCTGTTCATTTCAAGTTCAAATGACTACAACTCAAAAATACACAAAGAGCCTAAAGCGTGTTTTCTTCTCCTGCAGGGTTCAAACTGAGCTCTGTTAAAGATCTGGAGTCTGTGGAGATTTGTGTGCATTCCAGTCTCAAAATTCAGGCTGCGTTCCTGATTGGGACTTGATAATATGCAGGTATCTATAACTCATTCATCACAGAAAAAAGCACTGAAAGTGTCTATGCATAATGTCCAAACTCTTAGTTATTACTAAGACCAGGAGCATGTGTGCAGCTCCCCACCAAAAAAGGCTTTCAGACATTATTTTATCGTCACATTTTCAGAAAGTTTTGCTCACCTTGAAAGCATGCTCCAGACCAGCAGCATCATCAAAAGCATGACAAAAGATTGTACTCAACTGCCGCTCGGTATTCTCCACCTTGAGCTGAAACTCCATGAAATCTGCTTCAAACTCCTACAAAGAAGCATCGTTTGTTACAGCTACTTCAACCTTCAGTGTTTGTGTTGCGTTTTGTAGGAGATGCTGCCCACTTACCACATTACTAACATCAAGGCAGTCATACGGCTTCTCTGAGAATGTTTTATATGTCTCCAAGAAGTCTTCATGTAAGAACTGGACTCGCTGGCTCAGAGATTTTCCTAGAATCCCTCCAAACTCGACCTTCTCCAACTTCATCATATCAACTACAGTCAGCAGGAGAGTCTAGATGATGACAATGAAAAAGAACCAGACAACACTGATAACACATTTTGCACTACAGACGCTTAAAATAATACCATATATGGCCTAAACACACACTTATGTGAACATGTGTGAGTACGTCTCTCCACTTACTTCAATTGTTCTGAGTCTCTTCATGAAGTGATCCAGCCCGACAAACACCAGGAGGGGTGAGAAATCCCAAGGCTTCACCTCATTCTGGTTCCTCTGGTACTGACTCAGATTGGCCCTTCTGTCTTCATATGTGCTCTTGAAGTGTGTCAGCCCATCTATAGCCATCTGCACTCGGGACAGGCTCTCCAGCACATCACCCTTCAGGACGTCCTCTGGGTTTAGGAAACTCCGGGCCTGACAAACAACACTTATATGTAAAGCTTTCTCTCATGATGCGCCGATGAACCAAACTGATCTAAAGGTGTGTTCACACTTTTGATTCAAACTCTGGTGCAATTTCTCCATAATTGGAGAACGATAAAGGCACAGAGAAACGATATCGTTGGAATCACTTTCAGAACGATTTTTTTCCAGCTGATGAACGATAAACATTGACAGCCAATCAGAATCAATCCTGCTGTAATGAGCTCGAGAATTTAAAGCGACAGACACTCGTGCACTTTAGATAGTTAGTTAGTCTTTAGATAGTTTAGGTTAGTCTTTAGATAGTTATCTTTATAGTTATCGGTCTTGGTGTGAATGGGCCTTAAAGGGATAGTTCACCCAAAAATGAAAATTTTATGTTTATCTGCTTACCCCCAGGGCATCCAAGATGTAGGTGACTTTGTTTCTTCAGTAGAACACAAACAAAGATTTTTAACTCAAACCGTTGCAGTCTGTCAGTCTTATAATGGAAGTGAATGGGAATCACGGCTTTGAGAGTCAAAAAAAAACATACACAAACAAAACCAAATTAAACCCTGTGGCTCATGACGATACATTGATGTGTAAAGACACGAAACGATCGGTCTGTGCAAGAAACAGGTCAGGACAGTTCAGACATTGCAGTGCATCAGAGGTAAAAAACTATATAAATACTGTTCAGTTTCTTGCACAGACCGATCGTTTCGTGTCTTTACACATCAATGTATCGTCACGAGCTGCAGGGTTTAATATGGTTTTGTTTGTCTTCGTTTGTGTTCTACTGAAGAAACAAAGTCACCTACACCTTGGATGCCCTGGGGCTAAGCAGATCAACATCAAATTTTAATTTTTGGGTGAACTATCCCTTTAAGACTGTGTAAAAGGTTTGTGGACGTGGATTAGTAATCTGGCCCCTTGGTATAAAGGAGAAAAAATGCTGGCCCTCGTCACTATCAAAGTTGCCCATCCCTGTTTTAGATGTTAGATGGGTGGAAAATTGACAGGCTTGCGCTGCAGTTCTATAGATGTTTGACTGAAAACTATGAATGGAAGTCAGTGGAATATAGAATGTAGTGTGTCCGACCCTTTACCTGCTGGATGAGGAGGTTGCAGATCTCCTGTAGAAGCACTATGATTCGGGCTGGGCTGTTGTAGTATTTGGAGTTTGCCCAGATGAGACACACTGTATGCATGAGAGGAGCGATCTTCCCCTTCACCTCGCTGAAGTCTGCATTCTCCACATCTTCTACAAGTCTCTCTATTGGCTTGAGGAAGGTATTGATATCCCTCGTCTCATTTCGAGCTTAATAAACACATCACAAATCCAATTAAGATTCAAAGCTTTCACACAATTAATGCATTGCATATTTGATGGCAGAAGCTGATGTTATACCTTCTGAAACGTCCCGGAGCATTTTTGCAAAGGCAGGATAATAACTGCTGTCGACGGCAGCCAGGAGCTCAGCCAGCATCAGAACTCGAGGGGACTGGAACTGGTTATGAATTCCCTGAAGATCAGCAAGCCTACAACATAACATAACGTGGACAAACAAGACTGAAGGAGCTTTCCAGGCAACATCTGAGTGACTGAATTCCCAGGACTAACCTGTTTTTCCAGAACTTAATCTCTGCATGTGGAGTGGGGTTTTTGCCCTCAAGTAATGGCTCTGATGAGTCCTTCTTCAGGACCTTATAGACCTGATGACTCCAATCGATCACAACAGTCTCCATCGAATGAATGAGTCGTTTATCCACAAGATGCCCACTGCAAACATCAAATCAATGTTCAATGCCAATAAAATAACTAACCCTCATGTGGTGTTCTGGTCATTTTGATCCTGAAAATGCTAGTTAATGTTTTTGCATTGAACTAAAATTTTCTGACTTTGCTCACACACAGCTTCACAAATCAAAGATCATTTTGGTACGTTTTGGGGATTTTTTTATTTGGGGTATTTACACTTGTGGGGTTCTGGTCAAAAATGATGAAATTGCTTATAAATCTCTTGCCACGCTATATTATCACCAAATATTAGGTTAGTTTTGTCAGCTTGCTGCATTTCAATTAGCACAGGTTTTGTGTTTCTTTTTAGAACCAACTAATATAATATATATTAGCATATAATTTTAGCTCAAAAACTGATGTTCACAAGCTCAGATCAATAAGACCCATGATCAATCAGTTCTAGAAAGTAACAAAACCTGTGCTAACTGAGTTGACAAAAAGATTGAATCCAAGATTTGGTAATATTATAGCAAAATGAGAGATTTACATTTACATTTAGTCATTTAGCAGACGCTTTTATCCAAAGCAACTTACAAATGAGGACAATGGAAGCAATCAAAATCAACAAAAGAGCAATATGCAACTGCTATAACAAGTCTCAGTTAGCCTAATGCGGTACACATAGCAAGGTTTTTTTTAATTATATAATAAAAAAAAGAAAACATAGAATAGAAAAAGAATAGAGCAAGCTAGTGTTAGAGGCCTTTTTTTTTTTTGCTTTTTGTTAACTATAAAAAGAAAACAAACAGAATACAAAAAGAATAGATTTAAAAAAAAAGAAAAGAAAATAAGCAGTTAGTAAATAAATAAAGTGCAATTCTAAAAGGGGCAAGTTTATTTTAAAGAATAGAATTAGAATAGAGAGTGTTCTCTCTAGAGTTACAGGGTCAAATAAAGATGGAAGAGATGTGTTTTTCGCCGATTTTTGAAGATGCTCGGATTGAGTTGGGCAGAGCATTCCACCAGGAGGGAACATTTAATGTAAAAGTATGATTTACAAGCAATTTTTATGTCATTTTTAAAGTGGAAAACCAAATTGGAATTATAAAGAATATTCAGCACAGCACATGGATTAAGACAAAAAGACGTTTATTAAAATGTAGTGGCTCCATGAACCCACCTCTTATCTCCCTCATGAGCGACTGGCTCAAACTGCTCGAATCCTGGAGGCACGGGAAGGTGTGTTTTGCCTTTGACTTGTCCAGCAATAACAAACACGTTGTTTTTGAGCACGTGGATGTGTCGCATGAGGTCCTGAGAAACCACATGAGGAAAGTCCCGGTGGTTCCTCGCATTGGACAACACCGGTTCCACAACCTCAACACATGGGAAAGGTGAAAGTAGAAAATGCTGTGATATTTGGACAATTCCCTAATTTACTAAACTGTAATTCTTGTGGAGGCTTTCATCCAAAATGACTTTCTGTCAGAGAAACACATGAACACAATAAAAAGTCCTGAAATCATACACTTCACCAACCATTTAATACAATGTTTGTGGTGTCAAGTATATAATTACACCATAAAGTGATTACATTAACTCATTGTCTCCATAATAACCGTGTTTACATGAATCGACCTGCTACCGCTATAGTGACAGGTAGGTCAATGGTCATTGCTTAGAAACTGCTGTGATGTTTTGCTGGCCTCAGACTGCCTGTCCTGTTTGTGTAAGCCCTGAACAATGGTGAATGAGAATGAGTTTCTGAACTAAAGATGACATGTCTCTTAATGATCACATAAGGACAATTTGTGTGCTGTAACGTGCTTTTGCACACTGCTCGACATCTTGTCATATAAAGATTGTCAAATTTACAGGCATAGCCGGCAGAATTTCCTCATGCTGACAGTTCTGCATTTAGTGTATCTGTGGCTTCAATAACAAAACTATGAGGACAGTGCAAAATACCTGAACAAAACAAATCTGTAGCAAAAAAACTAATCTGACAGTGAATAACTGAATATTTAGATGAGCTGTGGAAGAGAAATATATATGTATCTGTTCTACAATTGAAACTTAAAATGTGAAACTACAATCAAGTACACTTTCTTCTATTAGACAACATCCATTATATGTATGGGAAAAGAGACATTGGCATTTGTTTATAACTTGATAATGTTATACGATTTAAAAAATAATAATAATTTAAAACAGAACATTAAAACATTACCTGTGTGAAATATATTGAACTTAATGAAGACCCTATTAATGGAAAATATATTTGCATATTTGGTTTCAGTCGACCGAATGTAAACAGCGCTTCATCCATTCCCTCTAAGTGTGAATGAACTCAGAAACTCTCCTGGAATGGTGCGAACTAAGACGTGAACCGATTCTTTCAGACAGCTTTGTGTACTGGTTTGACAGATTCTTTCAAAAGAACCGACTCAAATTAATGATTCGTTGGCGAAACGGACATCACTACTCCTTACTCTATAGATAATAACACAAATAGAGGACTGCTGAAATATTGTCACGGTAAATAAAATATAAATTAATAACACAGATGTCACTTAAAGTCGAATTAATTAAGAGAGAGAGAGCGAGAGAGAGAGAGACGATTTCAACTCAAGATACACGTTATATCCTAATAGCGCTGCAGTTTGTAGTAAACTAGTGTCAGATACTGTATTTTGGTAGCTACTAATGCTCTCTAGTATGTTTCTAAGTTAATACTTTAACAGTTTAAGTTTTTAGCAAGTAGCCTTACGTCACTAAACTTTATTGCGAATCTAAATGATTCGTTTAAAAGAACCGGTTCAAAAGAATGACTCATTGGCGAATCGGCCATCGACTCACCTTCTCCACCAGCACTGAGAACTGCTCCAGAGGAGAGTGGCACACGTCTCCACAAAACAACTGTGTTTTCATTTTATCAGCGGACAGTGCGGTTTTACACCGCTTAACGAAATAAACCGACTTGTTTTTCCCGGTTCCCGAGAGTCCGAAAGCAGGGATCAGCTGTCCGGAGGAGTTTAACGATATAACCAGAGTCTTGTGTTCAGATTTATCCAGAAAGTCCTGAATGAGCTGCCGCTGCTCCTCTGTGGCGACACATTTCTGCCAGCGGTCAGACTTCACATTAAACGCTTTCGACACGCACTTCTCTAAGAACTCAAATCTTTGGTCAACTTTTTGCGACTCGTTCTCCATTTTGCCGATGTGTTTGTAACTGACCGGACGACTGATTTCCTTTAAACAGCTGTCTCCATAGCAACCAGTGTTTACATGTACCGACCTGCTGTTGCTATGGTGACAGAGACAAACCTTCTCACAGGTGATTGTCAGTGTATTTATTGAAATTTATAAATGTAATTTAAATGAATAAATTACATTTGTATTTCTTTTATTTTTTTAGTACAAAATAAATTATTAGCTTTAAAATGCATTCAAAAATATTTTTTCCTAAATCAATTTGTCAATTAAATTAAATTGTACAGACTGAATAGATAAACCTATCTGACACAATTACTACCTGCACAAATAAATAAATAAATCATTTTGAAAATGCATCTTCAGCTCATTTTGCACACGTTTACGAACAACTTGCAAAACTCCACATTCTTATGTTCAGTAATATTAGGAAATAACCAGAAATGTACAGCAATGTGTTTTATTTGTACCATGTCTATTTGTAGTTAAATACTTACACTGACAAAGCGGCCTAATTACTAGAATGTTCCATGAGCGTCAATGATTTATTTATTTTTTTTGCATTTCTTGATCTAAAGGCTTTTGATGCATCATAAACATTAAAATAGCTCTTAATAAATCACTTTTTTTTTTTTTAGAAAGCGTGAAACAAAAGCTCTGAGATGGACAGGAACAGAAGAGGAACAAAGGGAGACTTCAAACCTGAAAGAAACAGAGGAACAAAACAAACAGCACTGGTCAGTGGTCAGTGTACCGTAAGTAACAGTTATGCAAATTCATAGCCTTTAATGTGATGCAGGCGGCTGTGGAGAGCTTCATCTAAGACTGTCTGTGTAATATATGAACAACACTGAACAAAAATTAGTTTTCATTAGTTGTGCACACAAACCAAGTTTGTGACTTGCTAAATTCAAGCTATATTTTATTTATGGTTTTATATATTTTCAGGCTATATAATGTACATAAGTTGCTCTTTAGGCCTAATTTGTTTAATGCGCATGCTACTGTACCTCATCCCTGTTGAAAAAACCAGCATATGCTGGTTAGGTATGTTTTGACGCTGGGATGCTGGTTTATGCTGGTCCTTTTGCTGGTCCTTTGCCAGCACATGGCCAGCATAAACCAGCAAAGGACCATCTTAAACCAGCAAAGGACCAGCTTAAACCAGCAAATGACCAGCTTAAACCAGCATCCCAGCGTCAAAACTTACCTAACCAGCATATGCTGTTTTTTTCAACAGGGATATACACTCTCTCTGTGATACAGATCCATTCTCTGTTTCACTCAGTAAGGATTTTCCATGTAAAAGCCATTTAGTCATGTATGAAACTGTATGTTTCAGTTGTGTTTAGTGAAATCAGAAGGCACAGATGTATGCACTCCAAATGCAGTAACCTACAAATGCCATTGGATGGCACTAAAAGAGAACAGACTGTAGCACGAGTTCAGAGAATAAAGTGGCTTTGAGTATTTTCCTACACAGTGTTTGTTGTGTTTCTCTTCTTCTTGGTAGCAAATGAAGTTTATTGTCTCCTGAGCCAGACAGTTTTAACAGACAGTGTTTTAAAGGCTCTTCTGCTCGCCAAGGCTATACAGTATAAACGGTGAAATATTACTACAATTCAAAATGACTGTTTTCTATGTGGCTATGTGTTAATTTACTGGTATGATCAAAGCTGCATTTTCAGCATCGTTACTCCAGCTTGTCACATGATTCTTCAAAAAATAATCATTCAAATATGCTGATTTGATGCTCAAGATGACACATTTCTGATTATTATCTGCTGAATACTTGTGGAAACTGTGATACATTCTATTTTTAAGGATTCTTTGATGCACAGAAAGTTCAAAAGAACAGCATTTATTTGAAATAGATATCTTTTGTAACATTATAAATGTTTTTACTGACACACATAAAATGATCCAAAGCTTATTTTGAGACATTAACCATCTATGCAAAGAGTCACATGATCAGTGTCACAAATGTTCTTAATTAGTGACCTATAAGTAGTGCAACATTTGTGATATTTATTCATTTTATGTAACAGTTTTAGTCAGTTTCAGTTCAGGCTTTAGAATCTGTCTGTATAAAACACAAATAAAATAAAGCACTGATTAACACAATGACCAGTAGATAGGCATATTAAAAACAGCATTTCCACAGTTTACATTATACATATAAGATTGATTCACAGGTAGAAGTATTGAGCAACATTTCAATTAAGAATATTTAATTATAGTTGATATTTTAGTGCCTGTGAGCAGATATGTAGATGACAGCTGTAGATGTTTAAGTAATGAAGTATTATGGCTCATGAGGACATGAAGATTCCTTCATCAGTGTGATACGATGCTGAAACGGAAACATGAAGCATTATATATTAATAAATTCTGATGTAGTCATGTTCTGTGCATGACCGATGGAGGGAGCTGAAGCAACACCGTCTGAAACCAATGAACCTGCTTTTCATGAAGCCTGTGATCTGCAGAATATGACTATGAATATGGGTTATTAACTACTCCATCATACCGGCTCTTAGTCATTAGTTTGTTTTGAAAATTAGAAATGAATATCAAGAGCTTGTCTGGGATTAATGGCATGATATTTTTGCTGTATTAATGTATTTTTTTAATATAAATCTATTAATTTATTCAAAAACATAAAAAAAAGCTATTTATAAAATGACTTCTATTCTATGATATGCATGTTTTTAATTTCTGGATTAAAATTAATTTATTTGTTTGTTTGCTTATTTTATTTTTTATTATTTTTCAATAATAAGTCAATTTCTATGCCAAAAATCATTAGGATATTAATTAAAGATCATGTTCCATGAAGATATTTTGTAAATTTCCTACTGTAAATATATTAAAACTTAATTTTTGATTAGTAATATGCATTGCTAAGAACTTCATTTGCACAACTTTAAAGGCGATTTTCTCAATATTTAGATTTTTTTGTACCCTCAGATTCCAGATTTTCAAATAGTTGTATCTCGGCCAAATATTGTCCTATCCTAACAAACCATACATCAATGGAAAGCTTATTTTTATTATTTTATTATTATGTATAAATCCCAATTTCGGAAAATTGACCCTTATGACTGTTTTTGTGGTCCAGGGTTACATATATATATATACAGTGCTCAGCGTAAATGAGTACACCCCCTTTGAAAAGTAACATTTTAAACAATATCTCAATGAACACAAAAACAATTTCCAAAATGTTGACAAGACTAAGTTTTATATAACATCTGTTTAACTTATAACATGAAAGTAAGGTTAATAATATAGTTTTAATAATACAGTTTTACTCAAATTAGGGTGATGCAAAAATGAGTACACCCCACTGAAAGTCTCTGGAGCAAAGCTAAATTTTAGGCTACAAATGTCTAATTTAACAAGAATTCAACCACAGGTGAGTCTAATTATTCATTACACAGGTGTCCAGCAGACAGTTGACTATAAAAGGGTGTTACTTAAAGAAACCCCCTTCCCATTTCATGCTCTCAGCAATGACACCACATGGAAGAGAAATGTCACAAGACCTGAGAAAGAAAATAATTTATTTACACAAGAAAGGTGAAGGCTACAAGAAGATCAGCAAAGCTTTACATCAGTCAGAATACTGTAGCAAAAGTGGTACAACAATTTTAAAAAGATGGAACTGCAACCATCTCACAGAGACGTCCAGGTCGTACACGGAAGTTAACACCTCGGCAGGAGCGTCTTCTGATGAGAAGGGCTGAAGAAAATAGGCATGCAAGTTCACTGCAGTTATCTAAAGAAGTAGAAAGCCAAACTGGGGTGACTATTTCCCGTGACACAATACGGCGTACACTGCAGAGGAATGGCATGCATGGGTGTCGTCCACGAAAGAAGCCTCTCCTAAAGCCAAGGCACAAAAAAGCCCGCCTACACTCTTAAAAATAAAGGTGCTTCAAAAGGTTCTTCAAGAGATGCCATAGAAGAACCATTTTTGGTTCCACACAGAACCATTCAGTCAAAGGTTCTTTAAAGAACCATCTCTTTCTTACCTTTTTATAATCTGAAGAACCTTCTTTCGCCCCAAAGAACCTTTTGTGAAACAGAAAGGTTCTTCAGATGTTAAAGGTTCTTTATGGAACCATTTAGACTAAAAGGTTCTTCTATGGCATCGTGAAGCACCTTTTCTTTCACCACAAAGAAGCTTTTGTGAAACAGAAAGGTTCTTCAGATGTTAAAGGTTCTTTATGGAACCATTTAGACTAAAAGGTTCTTCTATGGCATCGTGAAGCCCTTTATTTTTAAGAGTGTAGAGTTTGCCAGGGCCTATGCTGACAAAGATGAAGACTACTGGGACTCTATACTCTGGAGTGATGAGACCAAGATAAATGCTTTTGGAACCTATGGCTTCAAAACTATGGGGTCACAAAGGTGAGGAATACAAAGAAAAATGCATGGTGCCTACAGTGAAACATGGTGGTGGCAGTGTCCTTATGTGGGGCTGCATGAGTGCTGCTGGTGTCGGGGAGCTGCATTTCATTGATGCCATCATGAATTCACAGATGTACTGCTCTATACTGAAAGAGAAGATGCTACCATCACTCCGTGCCCTTGGTCGTCATGCACTTTTCCAACATGACAATGATCCTAAACGCACATCTAAGGCCACTGTTGGATTTTTGAAGAAGAACAGGGTGAAAGTGATTCAGTGGCTAAGTATGTCTCCTGATCTGAACCCAATTGAACACCAATGGGGAATTCTGAAGAGACAAGTTGAGCATCACTCTCCATCCAGCATCCAGTCTCTAAAAGAGGTCATTCTTGAAGAATGGAAAAAGATAGATGTTGCAAAATGTCGCCAACTTGTTCATTCCATGCCTAGAAGACTTGGTGCTGTCATTAAAAATCATGGAGGCCATACGAAGTACTAGATGTAGTAGTTTTTGTTGTGGGGTGTATTCATTTTTGCATCACCCTAATTTGAGTAAAACTGAAAAATGTGTAATCTAAGTTAT